TTCAAGCACATTGCATTGTCAAACATCATAATTTACTGAATAATGAACAGTGATTTTGGGGCTTAGCTCAGTTTGTTATGAACTTTGAAAGATATTCTATAACCTTGTATTTTTAAAAGCTTTCATGGAACGTAGATGCATTTTATTATACAATGAAAATAGTCTCTGTCTCTCTTTTTACTGATTTCAGTCAATTCCATTTTATTCGCAATGTGAAATGGGAATCCTATTAAAGACTCATTAAAAGGGGTGAGGAGTTTTTACAATCCCCCAACAGGTCATCTCCACGATGACGCTGTTTTATTACTACGGACGAATCCCTCAGGGTTTTACTTGCTTGTGAAAATTAGAGCTTTTGTTATTTAAAGTTCTCGGGGACAACCAAATCTATGAAAATGAAAGGAATAGCAATGACGTCATCGTGTAACCGTACATCAAAAGATAAGCACTGTGATCTGCTTAGTTTTTTTTTGTTTTTAGCCAGGCTTAAAATATCTGTAGATTCAAGGAATTATAACCTGTGCGTTGAGAGCATGCCAGAGACCAATTTTGGCATGCCCGGCATGACCCAGATTATGGCACGCCTGGCATTCCAGAGAATTTAGCATGCCGGAGATTTTGCTGGGTATGAATTACTTATTACTAGAACCTAGGCTTCTCGCGGCCTGGGTGAGAAGGTCACAGAACCTCAAATTATGCTTACAGGGCATGCGAAATTCTGTTGCATGCCAATTTCAATGCAAAACCACTCTGGGGCCACCCCCTCTATTACCAGTGAGCAAATCATTGACGATAGGCATGCGAAAAATCCTTGCATGTTAACCAACAATGAAAACATAGCAGAAATGTCCTCAATTGCTGAGTCATGCCCTAGGGGAGGCTTTGAAATACAGAATTTCCTGACATGGATGAGGGAATTTTCCGTAAACAGCATGTGATCATGCCGGCTAGGACGTATTGTCTCCGTATTGCTCCTTTTTACAGCTAGCTAGGCTCATTTTTAGGTTCCATGGTCTGAAATGACGAAGAATTCATGCCCTAAATGTAAAAAGTCCAAAAACGTCCTCGAAATTTTAGTTTCCAAGCCGTTTCTTGTTCTCTGTTCAACCTATACACGTCATCTCTAGAGTTTGGCAGCCGCGTTTTAGAAATTCGCGCCAAAACCGTCAACCCAGTTCCAGACCCAGACCCAGACCCAGTTCTTCAGTTGGGTGGACAGACTTGCTTTAGTATGATGCTTATGATAGGGTCATCTCGTGAATGAATTTACTCTTACAGCGGGGATGGAAATTTAGCGACTAGAATTAGGGAAAACAGATACATGTAAGCATATGTTCATGCATGTCTCCTTTCAATTTTCACCACCGAATTTGAACTTTTACAATAAGGTTTAACCAAGATGCTTCCTTCTCTTAAGTTGTTAGTTGATTCTTTAAGTTGTTACTCTTGTGGTCAAAAACACAGTAAAAAAAGCATTTTTTGAAATGAGTTAAGATCACACATTTCTTGAGTAAAGGTTAAATTTTACTCAATGTGTTGAGTAAACTTTACACACAGATTGAGTTAGATAATTTACACATCAAGGTGTGTAAAAACAACTCACTATTTTGAGTAACAATCAGTACAGTACTTACTCAGAAGTGAGAGTAAACTTACTCAACGAATTGAGTTAGATCATTAACACATTATGGTGTGTAAAAACAACTCACCATTTTGAGTAACAATCATATTTACTCAAACATGAGAGTAAACTTACTCACCTACCGAGTTAAAGTGTTCTTTTAAATATATATTAACAAAATATTGAGTAAATCGCTTTTATCCAGCAATAGGGACTATAAAAACAGAAGATATATTTGAGTGCACTTGAATATTTGAATTAAAGAAAAAAATAGGAAAAAAAATCTTTTTGGAAGAAAACACTCTGCACTTAGGGTATTACATGAAATGCTTTTGACCACTTTTAATTATTTTTTTCTCTTTATTATTTTATGTAAATTTTCAGGTAAACGTAAATGTATACACTGCTTTTACAATAGAATCTTTGATGAGCTAAATAATATGTTACCTGACATAAGTAAACTTTGTAAGACAACTGAGGTCTGGGTGTCTTGAAAACAACCCCTACCCTGCCTCGTACCCAGACGTCTCTCTTTTGATGAAAATGTGCACGCAAAGGAAGGCGGGAAGGAGACGACGGGCGAGACGTCGCTTCGCCTGCTGTCTGTACCCTTCCCATGGTCCCTTGCGGTTCATCACCAGTCACTCGCGTTTCGCACTCGTCTGCCATGTGAAAATCGAAGCGCCTGAGGAGGAGGCTGACCCCTACCCTCTAAGACCCCCCACCAAATGACTCTGACCTTTACTGATTAGGGTTAGGAAACTGAGTGAATTAGGTTCCACTTAAGTCATTATACTGGACAAACTGACCCAAAAGTTGATTAACTCAGTTTCCCAACTTTAATCTTAGGAGGTCTTAGGGGTCTTTGTTTTCAAGACACCCCTGAAGTCTTGGAGAAATAAACAAACATTCACAGTATAAATATAGGCGCATTTCACGCCCAGGCTGGTGCAGTCTTGTCCGTACAATGCTAACAATAGGGAATAATAATTATTATTATAACTTGACCAAATATCATGAAAAAAAAAAAGACTATATCATCATGGGCACAGGCTGCCCATAAGATTGATGCTAACATATATAGGCCAAGCATAATTG